AAAGGATAAAACAAAAAAAACTATGTAAAATGTTTCTTGTCTAATGAGTGATATATTCAAACAAGCACCTTTGAACTTTTTCCCTCACACAGTGCCTCACGCTTAGGGAAATCTCTCCAGAAATGATAGCAAAATCTTCCTCTCTTTTTGTGTATAGTTTAATATAAGTACACTCTGACTTGTACTTCCTCTCATATCAAGCAATGTGATTGCATTAGATTTTTGTACTCCCTCCTCAACCTGTCAGCTTCTTGCTTCTGCCTATAAAATGGATACGTTAATCTGGTCCATATGCCACCTACTCCAATAGGTCTTTGTTCAAACAGTAAAAACATATTAAACTTCAGAAACAAGAGTAATAAAACATGGGAAATCAGATTATAAACACAAAGTAGTTCTTACCTATGCAGCTGCAAATACTCTCTGGGCCTGTTTAGAAGGTGAAGGAATCTGTCAACAATCTTGTTCTTCCCAACTCCCTGCAGCAAATAAATACAATATTACAACGTAATATAGATGTGCACATTTACAAGTTATAAACAAGGAAAACTTCCCAAAACTGTTAAAATATTCTCCATATTCCTTTATAGGCAAATATAATTTCAATCGTCATCAAAGAATTCAAATATAATTTGATGATATATATTATTTTATTTCTATATGTATGTGTATATATATATATTTGCGAAATACTTATCTGTCTTACTAGGAATAACCAGAAGTAGGAGTACATCCACAGAGTTACGTCATACGTGCTGATACATCACTTTGACTAAGACCAGTTTTCCAGCCCTTTTATTTCACAAAAGTATTGCAGGGCCGTGAATGTTAAAAGTTGACTTGCACTTAATAGGAAAAGGTAATTCTCAGTGGTCATAGGAAACGTCCTGTAACTGTCACGTGGACTTAGCGCATTGCCTTGATAATATTTGCTAATCCCATTCCACTGGAGTTGCCAAAAAAGGCCCAGATGCAACTAGATTGCTCCTATAGCAAGATGTCTGCATTACCAAGCCGTGTAGGAATAATGACATTGGATTTATGAAGAGAATTAGGTGTTGCTAACACCCTGGTGTGTCCTGTACAAGTGGTTCAGGAGCTGGCAATTCAGCTCAGGCCTAGCCTGGTCCCACAGAGGGAATTAGCAGAGGGCATGAATAAGGTGCGCTCCTGGAGAACACCTTCCACTTCGGTCTCATCCTAAGAGAATCCAGGTCATACATCCCTTGACACAGATCAAACTGCAGTAAGGAGGTTCCCTTCAGAAGCACATTTCTGATCAGGTCTAAATCGTTAATGCAGATGTAAACCAAGATGACAGTTCAGATGCAGAAATTCACATCCCTCTTGCAAAGCCATGGCTGCAGTCACAATGACGGTGAGATTGCCAAGGCTTTCAAAGGAAAAACAATTAGCAGAAAGAAAAGTTCAATTGTAACTCAGCCAAAAGCTGTTTGACAAGACACTGGCCCTCTGCTGAGATTCTCACTCTGACTTCATGAATGTATCTAGTAGTCCACACCAGCATAAAGCAGATAAATATAACCCACTGAAAGATTAAAGAGATTAGACTAAAGCAACTTGAGACTCACTAATCTGTTTCACTTGGCATTGAAACAGAATAGAAGCATTCAGAGCTGCAAGTTATGACATTTATGACTGTAAGTTCTAGCTGAAAGCTGGTAATTACCAGCTGCAGAATTGCAAACTGTTTAAGCTTCTCGAAGTGGGGCCACAGGCTCTCATTTGACTACATTTATGAGAACAGAGAATCGTGCACGTATGTGTAGTAGTTGAAATGATGGAAGGAGAGTTCTCATCATGAAAGCAGAGTTAAAAATACCACAGAGCTGACAAAAAGAGAACTACCTAGATTCTACCGCAGATTCAACTCCGACACAGGAAAGCAAACTCAAGTTAGTGCTCTGCCACACGCCTCCTCACGAACCTGATTCTGATTCTTCAGAAGAATCTACAGCTTTACACATAGATGTAGCAAGAAGTTGCATCACACTTAATATCTATCACCAGTAACTTCTGAAAACACAGTTCTCCACCGCTCTGAAATGGGATGAAATTGTGCTAACAGATTCTTCCAGAAAATCAAAGAACACACTCATTAGGGGAGAAATAAGCAACTTCAGGAATTGCATTGGAAGCATCAAAAGTAACCAGAAACAGGGTAAGAAATACACAGACAGTTTTATTGCCATACGTTTCCTACTACCTGCAGTCAGACACTTAAATCATAAATAGGTGAACAAACAGAATAGTCCTAATGTCAAGCAGAGAAAATCCATGCTGAAAGCAGCTTCCTTTACTTTTCTCAAGTGACCTAAAGATGACTGGGCAGGTGTCTGCACAGAGTTTCTGTATCAATCGCAAGCAGATTTTATATCTTCACTGCAGAGCCAGCTGTGGCAAGCACAAAGATAAAGAAATAGATCAATACATTGAATCAATGTAAAATATACTTAATATAAAAAAATTTAATGATTGCTGCAATTTAATAAAAAAAAATGGCTTTCACATGCATTCACAGAAAAAATAGATTCTTAAAGCTGTGCCTGAAAAGAGTACTTTTCCAACTATAAAATAACACTACTAGATTTATTTCTCCATTCCAGAATAAAGAGGATCAAACAGCTGGCCTTGTGTATTTCTATCCAAGCTGTTATCACCAAGGGTACTAAGAGGAGGGCGCCTCACTTCTGAGAGAATGCTCAGAGGACTCAAGTGTGGTGGCGGAGGAAGAGAAGGAGCACAGCTACCACAGTAACACTGTGAAGTCAACGGGAGCTGTGCCATGACCACATCTTGCCCCTTCTTCCCCTGTACTTGTACATCTTGCCAAACTCCTAGCACACCTCCTTTTATTTCATTTTAAGTATATATCGAGCTCAAAACGTGATAGATTTTTTAAAAGGTGCATGCAGTATTCAAAAGTCAAAAGGCTTTCCCATGAGATTTTAGCTATTATAAACAGATTAACATTGCCCAACTTCTAGACCGAACTGCTTCAGAAAGTACATTATGTGCCTTCACAGAGGCTGTGGTGTACCACATAAAATCCTTGGCTGGCAACAGTAGCTGGAGCAAAGTTCAAGTCAAAGTTTTTTGATTCCATCCTTCGACATTCCTACTTCATGACAAGTTACCAGTTCTCTTTGTCTCAGCTACTCCATTGAGAAGGCACGATATAATAGAAAGGAAGGAAGAGATTAAAGTTATTCAGAAGGCTCTTTAGCACCATCAAAAAACTGCAAGAGAGAGCTTGAATGAGTTTGCTTCCTAAATACTATTCATTAACATAAGGCCAAGAAAAGCAGGTTTATTCTAAATTCACTTGACCTTCATGAGATAAAGAATATGCCTCGTAGCCTTCTTCAGATGAACAAGAAATGAGGAAAACGCTAACTCATTTTGGAAAAAATCCCTCTGAAATCAGTTAATAGCACCTGAGAAAAGAAATGACAAGAAAAGCAACAAAGTGACCCTCCTCTCCCCTGAGTCTCTGCTCACTGCCAAAGATCAGACTGGATCTTCTGGACATCCACATAGCTGTCAGTCAACTACTTAGGTAGAAAGAATCAGAACTACCTTACACACAAACATATTAAAAGACTGAGTTGAACTTGGACTGGATTCAGAATGCAATCCCATGTAATTTGCAATCACTGTAGCCTGAGTTAACCTTCAGAGGACAAACCAGTTCACCATTGACACTTGCTGCCTGTTACTTATATATGCACTATCGCACTTGCTTAATTTAACAGAAATAGAAGCACATGCTAATTAGAGAGAAAAGAACATCTGTGTTGGTGTTTCAGCTGAACTGAATAAAAATATTTCAGAAAGCAAATATAAGAAAAATTTTATTCCATCAGACATATGGGACAACTGAAAGAAAAATGGGAAGTAAATATCTGCGCTAACAAATAACAAAACGGAAATTATGCAATTAGAAGGCAAAATAATCCCTAAGTTCAAAATTCTCCTAACTGACATTATAAACACTTGTTACCAAGGATAAAATTACTTAACCTTGTAGCAGTAACTACAGTTTCAAATATAAACAAGGTTGTTACAGGTCCCAGGAGGCATTTTGCAATTCAGGATGCAGCTATTACAGTAGTGGGACAAATTTCTCCCCTGCACAGCCCTACTAAAGTCAATAAATTCATAGTCCAAAAGAACTGGACCTGAGTTTTTGAAATTAATAGTTTACCTCTTAGAAAAAAAGACTACTGGGAAAAAAAAAAAAAGACACCCCTAAACATGTTGCCTCATTTTTCTTTTCTTTTCAATGATTTGCAGGTCATACCAAAGGAGTTCGAGGTAGCCATGCGATGCTCTTCGGTACTGCCCTTCAGCTGAGACACTGCAACCACACCTTTTCCATTTCACCAGACAACCATCCTGCACAGCAGATGCAGGATCTCTTTCATTACAAAAGAATGAAACAAATTTTGAAACTGATAAAATTTCACCTTAGGAAATTTTATTTTGTAATTATTTTTAACACAGTATTATTAGGGAACACAAGACAATCTTGTCTTTTCATTTAAATTCTAGTATAGAGAACCCCCACATCAGAGCTCTCAGATTGTGACTTCATGGAAAGAGTTATATTGATAGCGTCATTTTCACAGAAACTTATGGTTGAACAATGACAACGAAGAAAATGAAAACACTCTTGTTAATGTACGGTTTCTAACACTGGGTTTGACACCAAACCACCTTCTACGCCCACACCTTGCCTGTTTCTGCCAATAAAAGTTTTTGCAAGAGTGCATGCATTTTGACCGAGGCTGACGTTTTTACACTGGAAGATGTATTTCTGTGGGTTTTTTTAAAAAGTGCTGTTATCACTAGAGCAACAAGCAGCACCTCTATCAAACTCGCAAATGCCCCAGCTGTTATTAGGCTCATCACTCCCTGCTTCAACACAACCAATGTGAATAATGCAGTGTGACAATTGCAGGAGGTGTGTCACCAGCAGTGTCAGACGTGGCTACCACAGGACGACTGCGACAGACCCTGTCATTGCTGCCTTGCTTGGATGTTAGTAACAAAGGAAAATGTGCAAAAGCAGAGGGGGTTTAAGTTTTTCCCCAGCTGCAATCTCTGTTATCAGTCACAACAGTGACTGCTCTGAGGTTTGGTATCTCATTATTTTATTACAAGTTTATCATCTGGGGTGTGTGAAAATTATGGTGATAGTAAAATAAAAAAAATTCAGCGTAAGACCAACTAAACTTGATTCCGTCACAGAAGTGATGAATGGAATGTTTAGGCTGCATCGCTGACTACAAGGCTGATAAGCTCGTAAGGTTTATGCCTTTTTCTGACTTCAAGCACAACCTCCAAGCCCTGTCAGGCTAAATATGAGCTTCAGCATTTCCAGCGAAATATGGCAATTGTGCTTCAAAGGAGAGAAGCATATGAAAAATTTATAATAGAAAGAATTTGTGGGAAG